AATTGGAAAATGACAGCGATAACCAAACAAAGCCCAGCAGCCCAGGCTGCATCATCTCATTTTGCATGCTGATGGAGGGCATGTTAGGAACGTGGAGTCTCGGGCCGTGGCCTCAGGGTAGCGTCCCTGCAACTCACTTCAAGAGCCCACTGGTCACCGGGTGGAGCCCCTGGACCGATGGTAATAGGAAAGGACGGGGCTCTAGACCCCCTGGTCCCGGTGGATGCCCTGGACGATTGGTCATCAGAAAGGACGGGGCTCTAGAGTCCCCTGGTCACCGGGTGGACGCCCCTGGACGATGGATAGAGAAGGACGGGGCTCTAGAGTCCCCTGGTCACAGGGTGGATGCCCCTGGACGATGGTACAGAAAGGACGGGGCTCTAGAGCCCCCTGGTCACGGGTGGGACACCCCTGGACTATGGCACAGAAAGGACGCGGCTCTAGAGTCCCCTGGTCACCGGGTGGACGCCCCTGGACTATGGCACAGAAAGGACGGGCTCTAGAGCCCCCTGGTCCCCGGGTGGACCGCCCCTGGACGATCGGTACAGAAAGGACGGGGGCCTCTAGAGCCCTGGTCACCAGGTGGACGCCCCTGGACTATGGCACAGAAAGGACGGGGCTCTAGAGCCCCCTGGTCACCGGGTGGACGCCCCTGGACTATGGCACAGAAAGGACGGGGCTCTAGAGTCCCCTGGTCACCGGGTGGACGCCCCTGGACGATGGCACAGAAAGGACGGGGCTCTAGAGCCCCTGGTCACCGGGTGGACACCCCTGGACGATGGCACAGAAAGGACGGGGCTCTAGAGCCCGCTGGTCACACGTGGGACGCCCCTGGACAATGGCACGAAAGGACGGGCTCTAGAGCCCCCTGGTCACGGGTGGACCCCTGGACGATGGCACAGAAAGGACGGGGCTCTAGAGCCCCCTGGTCACCAGGTGGACACCCCTGGACGATGGCACAGAAAGGACGGGGCTCTAGAGCCCGCTGGTCACAGCGTGGACACCCCTGGACATGGCACAGAAAGGACGGGGCTCTAGAGCCCCTGGTCACCGGGTGGACGCCCCTGGACGATGGCACAGAAAGGACGGGTCTCTAGAGCCCCCTGGTCGCCGGGTGGACGCCCCTGGACAATGGCACAGAAAGGACGGGGCTCTAGAGCCCCCTGGTCACCGGGTGGACACCCCTGGACGATGGCACAGAAAGGACGGGGCTCTAGAGCCCCCTGGTCACCGGGTGGACGCCCCTGGACTATGGCACAGAAAGGACGGGGCTCTAGAGCCCCCTGGTCACCGGGTGGACGCCCTGGACATGGCACAGAAAGGACGGGGCTCTAGAGCCCCTGGTCACAGCGTGGGACACCCTGGACTATGGCACAGAAAGGACGGGGCTCTAGAGCCCCCTGGTGCCGGAGGTGGACGCCCCTGGACAATGGCACAGAAGGACAGATGCTCTAGAGTCCCCTGGTCACAGCGGTGGACGCCCCTGGACATGGCACAGAAAGGAGGGGCTTCTAGGTCTGGTCACCGGGTGGACACCCTGGACGATGGCACAGAAAGGACGGGGCTCTTAGAGCCCCTGGTCACCGGTGGACGCCCCTGACATGTACAGAAAGGACGGGGCTCTAGAGCCCGCTGGTCACAGCGTGGACACCCCTGGACGATGGCAACAGAAAGGACGGGGCTCTGGAGCCCCCTGGTCACCGGGTGGACGCCCCTGGACAATGCAACAGAAAGGACGGGGCTCTAGAGTCCCTGGTCACCGGTGGACGCCCTGGACATGGGCACAGAAAGGACGGGGCTCTAGAGTCCCCTGGTCACCGGGGTGGGACGCCCACTGGATGATGACGAAAGGACGGGGCTCTAGAGATCCCCTGGTCACCGGGTTGGACGCCCCTGGACGATGGCACAGGAAAGGACGGGCTCTAGAGTCCCCTGGTCACAGCGTGGACAGGGAACAAAGAGCATGACCTCGCACTTGGAAGACCGTGGCACACCCGCGGTGGGTGGCTACTCTGCTGTCTGTGGTTATCAACGTAGAGAGCACATTCGCAAATCGCAGCTTTCTTCACAAAATCTCCAGTTCCTGAGACCCAAGTGCCTAACTGTCACCGAGATTTTGGAACCTCGAATGGGCGGAGCAGGACGCCAGCACCTTGGCCAAGGCTGACACAGCCAGGCCTGCTTCTACGTGGGCGAGTCACATGACTCTGCACGCGTTCCTAACCGCCGGGTCCCGCCAGCCCTCCCACAGGCCGCGGCATGGCTGCAGCTTTTGACACCACGTTTCACTAGATAAATCATTTCTCACATCAGAAGGTGACTCATAGGACAGGAGATAAACTTTAAACCTAAAGTAATTTTTAAAATACTTTACAATATCTTTTTCACACTGCTTGATAAAAGTATAAAATATCAACACTCCACAGATAGCACTCTCCACTAGCAGGTGCACCTTACCCCAGTGACAAAGAAAAAGCAGGAAATGGCAATGATGGAAGGGAAAGAATAACACTGGCACTGTTAAAAATGGTCTTTTTTTTTTTTTTTTTTTTTGAAGAGACAGTCTTGCTCTGTTGTTGCCCTGGCTAGAGTGCAGTAGTGTCATCATAGCTCACTGCAACCTCCAACTCCTGGGCTCAAACGATCCTCTGATCCTCCTGCCTCAGCCTCCCCTGTAGCTGAGACTACAGGCTCATGCCACCACACACCTGGCTAATTTTTCTATATTTAGTAAAGATCGGGTTCTCACTCTTGCCCAGGCTGGTCTCCAGCTCCTGATCCTCCCGCCTTGGTCTCCCAGAGTGCTGGGATTACAGGCCTAAGCCACCTTACATGGCCTACAATTGATCATTTTTATAAACAACATTTGCAAATATACACACAAAAAGAAAAAAAGAAGCACAAACAAATTTCCAGGCCTGGCGAGCGTGACAAGGCTGAAGTGGAGTCTGGAGGCAGGGGTATGTCGGCCGGGACTGGCAGCGGGGCCTTCTCCCGGGGCCCTCCACGTCCCGCAGGTGGCCCTGCCTCTCGCCAGATGGACCTGGGGCTGTATCCCTTCCAGCTCAGACGGACCCCAGGGGCATCCCCCCCAAGCAGGCACGCCTTGCTTGCCCACCCCACACCTGCCCGCAGGCCACGGGCACAGCCATCTGCTCTGCTCTAGACTCAGCTCTCAGACCCTTGTCCCTTCACCTGGACCTGAGCACCCCTTCCCACTGCCAAGGTCCCCGGAACTTTCCCCTCGTTCTTACGAAATGACACTCCCAGAAGGCTTGGTTAGGAGAGAGCTGTCATTCATTCTAGCTCATAGATGATTGGCAGCTCTGCTTCCCTTTTGTCTTATTTCAGGATGCTTACCCAGGCAGACCACACATAGCGTGTGACTGAAATACCAATCTGCTCTGAATATCTCTAATCCAAATTTTTCATTGTATCCTCTCTGGTGTGCACTGTGCAATCAAAGAACCAGGTATCATACAACCGGGGTTTCTTATTTTCTATTATGATGTTTTTGTACTGTCATTTACAGAATACAGCCATAATTGCTGCATTTTCATTTTGCTCTAATTTATGCCAAACATTTTTAAGTTTAAGGAGCATTTTCATATATAATGCCTTCTATCGATTTCATAAGGAGCAAACTCAAGTCCCCTGAAATGAAGGGACTCACACACTCACCCTCGGGCCCTAAAGCCATGCACCTCCCCAGAGTTTTCTTCTAACTTCACCAAGAAAAACTGCAACGAAAACGCAGCACCTCAAAACACCCCCATGAAACTATGGTGGATCCAGAAAGTCAAGCATCAACTTTTAAAAGATAAAAATGCCATTTTGAATAACCGAATTTTACATCATCTCTAATTATCTACAACTCCTAATCACTTATGAAATAGCACCTTACACAAACAACTTTTCTAATTGGCAGGAAATATGAGCATCCTGACTGTAAAGTCGCCGTGTCTGTACCTGGGACGTGGCCACTACAGCCACTGGAATAAATGCCGTTGGAGACAGAGGCAAGAATATCGTTAAAAATATGCAAAGCGCAAACCTTAATTATCATCTTTCTTTTCCAATAAAAGCTGTTTTCTATGAACAGATGTTCAAAATATATTTTTAACAATAAGTGGGCAGCGCAAATGTTCTTGCATCTTGCCGCATCTACCTGCTCTGCACAGAACCTGGAATATTGACAGCTAAGGAACTGCTCTGGGGCTCAACCATAGAAAGGAGTAGAAGCCCACTGTGATCAGAGTGAAGGAGAGCCTTCACCTGTAGCCAAAGTTAGGGTTGAAATGAACACTAGGTTGCAACAGTGTATCTGCAGCTTTGGGAAATGTTACTGAAGGCCCAGACATGTCGCTTTCAACCAGAACCTTAAGGTCCCACTGCAGGGAAGCACCTGCCCACAACCTGCTCCAGCAACCCTCAGGGGAAGACGCTGGTTTTCTTTAAAACAGTAAATATCTTCATCCTAATGTGGACCGAGTCCTTTTGCCTTTATAGGAAACTATAAATGACTGCCTTGTCCCACACTGAGACACCTCAACTCACTCCTCAGACACTCTCAGCAGGTGCAGGTTCACCTGAGCCTGGGGGTCCCTCCTGCACCCTGACGACCCCAGAGTCCCGGCCCGTTCCCGTTGTGGGGGGCAGGTCACTCCTGACGTCCGTGGGGGTGCTGCTCCTGGGGAGTCAGCCCCTCCCCTGCATCGCCCGTGGGGGGAGGCATGGCAACCCCTGACGTTGGGGGCTGCTCCTGGGGTCTTCAGCCCCTCCCCTGCACCCTGCATCGCCCGTGCGGGGGAGGGCATGGCACCCATGACGTTGGGGGCTGCTCTCTGTGCGATCAGAGCCCGGGGACGGGGACACCACGTCTCCCCGCGCGGTCCCCCAACCCTGAGGCTGGGACTTAGCTATTTGGGGCGAACTGGGCAGAAGTGCAACTTTTAAAGAAAACCAGAAATCCCGCGAGTGGACCCTCGGCCCGCACTCACCGTGGGCGGCCTGGACGCGGCCCGCCGTCCTCGTGTCCCGTGGCCTGCACCCACCGTCTCTGCCGCGCCCCCGCCGTCCCCGCGGCCCTCACCCACCGTCCTTCCCGCGTCCCCCGGCCGACCCCCCACAGGGATGCGCCCGGCCCCGCCCGCCCTGGGAGGGAGGCTCCACCCACCGCGATGTGATTGGCGGGTCCGGGTCATGCCGGGCGCCCATTGGCCTTTGTGCCCGCCAGTTTCTGGACCGCGCCCCGCCCTCGCGCCAGCGCATTCCTGCGGGGCCACGTGGCCGCCCGCGCCCCTCCCCCGGCCCAACGCCCCGCCTGGGCAGCGCACCCAGGGGAGGGGGCCCCGCGGACACCCCTGTCCTGGAGCGCCCGCCCCTCCCCGCCGACTCCTTGGGCCCTGCGCCCTTGCGGAGGGGCAGACTCCAGCCCTTCCTGCGCCCAGCATCTGCACCCTCCCCGCGGACCATTGGGGCTGAGCTTGCTTCTGGAGGGGGCTGAGCAGACACCCTTCCCCAGGGGATCCCCTCCTTAGGGCATCCCCTCCCCCCACATTCCTACCCAGGGCATCCCCTCCCCCCACATCCCCACCCCAATGTATCCCTCCCCCATACCACCCCCCTCCATGCAGACCCCGTCCCCCCAGGCCCCTCCTGGCTTCAGCCGGTTCCCAGGCAGTGTTTAAAGCTGCTGCTTCCTCACCTTCCTGGGACCTTCCCGCTGCCCATAGGCCTGGGGCCTGCAGCCCTGGGCGGGATGGCCTTGTGGGCTGCAGGCGACCTCTCCATCACCCCAGCCCATGGGCTTAGAAGCATCTGCACAGCTTCCTCCTGCTCAGAAACTAACAACCTGGGATACCTGATATTCAAGAATGGCCCCTTCTAGGCTGTTGGGATTAAGCTTTTATTTATTTTATTATTTTGAAAAGGAAACAAATTATTGATGTAATTAATACTAAAGTAAGAAATGTGAAATAAAAACTTTTTCCTTTTATCGAAATGACAAGCAAAGAATGTCTTCTGCTACAACTCATTTAACGACTGTGTTCACGGATGCTACATTCCTATGCCTTCTCCTACCCAAATCTCCAAATCACAGAAGTAATTCAATGTCAGAATTTTAGAACTGTTAGATGTCTAAGAGATTTCTAGTCCCGTTCCCTTGTTGGATAGAATAAAGAGCTATTTGGCAGCCTAGGTGTCACAGAATTAATGTAACATGCAGTGACCATAAAGCTCTTTTGCTCAGTAATACATTCTTTCCTTGCAAGTTTTGAGTACGGTAGAAACCATAGCTAATGTATAAGACTACAGTGGTGGAAAAACAAATAGTAGGTAAGGTGATATTTTAGTAATGTTTATTATAAGCACTTAAATTTATGGAAACAGACTGAGTTATTTTTAAGTACTATTTCAGACCTACATTGACGTTGTGCAGATGCCATAGCATGAATCCATTGAGAAAGATGCTTCCTCCCAGCAAAAACAGCATTGTGCATGTCAGAAACAATGTGTTGTATCCACAGCTACAGGTGCTCACGGGCCCAGGGAGGCTAGCTGGGCTGGACCACAGGCGGGGAAGGGCAGGAAACACCCTGATTCAGAGCATAAACCCTGTCTGCTTTCTTCTGGTGTTGGCCACAGATACATCTCCATTTTTGTAAGCCCTGATATGGAAAAGTTGAGGTTTTCCATCAATTCCTCTCTCTCATCCATGGAATGCTTCGAAAAGTTATGTTTAACTTTCAAACATTTTAGGGAATTTCTGGTTTTCTTCTTATTCACTAAAGTTTAATTCTGCTGTGGCCTTAGAACATAACCTACAGGACTTTAATCTTTTACCATTTGTAATGACTTGCTTGATGGCTCACCATTGTCTATTTTAGTAAATTTTCTATGTGCACTTGAAAAGAATGTACTCTGCATGCATTTATGTACTGACCCATATATGTCATTCAGGTCCTATTTGTTACTGATTTTTTAAATCTGTTTGTTCCATAAGATCCTGAGAATGGTGCATGAAAATCTTCAGCTGTCTCTGTTCAGCATTGCACTGCATCGTTGAATTGGTGTTATGCGGTAAAAAAAAAAAAAAAAACTGTAAGGATTGAAGAGAAGAACTGATTATTTCACAATGAGATTACATAGGTAAAAAACCCAAAATAATCTACAAATTAACTATTAGAATTAAAATGGAATTTAGGAATTTGAAATGGATCATAGACTCAAATGTAGAAGTTAAACTATAAGGTTTATAGAAGAAAATATATGAAAAGATCTTATTGATTTCTAGGTAGGACACAAAATGCACTAACCAACCACTTAAATGATTAAATGGTCTTCATAAAATTTAATATTTCTACTCCTCTCGTGACACCATTAATACAAATGAAAAGGCAAGCTGCTGACTAGGAGGAAGCATTGTCCATTCGTGATCTGACAGAGGACCTACTGTCTGGGTCCATTTGTGCTGCTAGAACAAATACCTGAGGCTGGGTAATCTACCCAGAACAGAAACGTATTTCTCAGAGTTCTGGGGCTTGGAAGGGTAAGACCAAGGGGGGCATCTGACCAGGACTCTCTCTGGCTGTCATGGGTAGTGGGACATGGAAGAGAGGAGCAGAAAGTGCACAGGCAGATTGGCTCCTGTCCTTTTGTAAGGAGTTCAGGGCAGAGCCCGCACCCCAGACACCTTCTGCTGGGCCCAACCTCCCAACACACTGAGGGCCAGGTTTCCAACTCGTGAATTTGGGGGACACAATCAAACCACAGCATCAGGGCCTGCCCGTCCCCATGTCCCACCACGTGAGGACATGGAGTTCAAGGCACCTCTTGGAAGCAGACAGCCCGACCTGCCCAGACACAGACCCTGCAGCACCGTGGCCTTGGACTTCCAGCCTCCAGAACTGTGGGACGTAAACTTCCGTTATTGACAGGCTACTCAGTTCATGGTACTTTTTATAGCAGCAGGAACAGAGTAAGACAGTTTATATATTAGTAAAAGGAGTTTTAATAGCTGGGCTTATTGACACTTTTTTTTTTTTTTTTTTTTGAGACAGAGTCTCGCTTTGTTGCCCAGGCTAGAGTGAGTGCCGTGGCGTCAGCCTAGCTCACAGCAACCTCCAACTCCTGGGCTCAAGTGATCCTTCTGCCTCAGCCTCCCGAGTAGCTGGGACTACAGGCATGTGCCACCATGCTCGGCTACTTTTTTCTATATATATTAGTTGGCCAATTAGTTTCTTTCTATTTATGGTAGAGACGGGGTCTCGCTCTTGCTCAGGCTGGTTTCAAACTCCCGACCTCGAGTAATCCGCCCGCCTCGGCCTCCCAGAGAGCTAGGATTACAGGCGTGAGCCACCGCGCCCGGCCGACACTTTTTTTAAAATAATGATTTTCTTCATTAATTGCATATAAAATATCCCCTTGTTAATTGCAAATGAAATAAAGTGTAAGACCTGTGGACAGTGTAGGAGGTTTCTTCCCTAGTTAGGACATTTGGGAAGAATGGGAAAGACAGGGACACCCTCGCTGGGTCCCACCCCTAGTCCAGAGACTCCTTCATGGTCGGTGCAGATGGCTGTCAGTCACCCTGCAGGGGCAGACGGCTGCAGACAGGACGACCACAGCCACACCTGGGGGGGCGCAGGGAGTCCCGGGCAGGCTGATCCACATACCGTGCATTCCTGGAGTGAGTCATCTCTACTCACTGACCAGCGTTTCTTTATATCGTTTTACAATCAAACAGGAACAACCTGCAATAACACGAACACCGAGTGCCCGGCAGACCAGCCTTCGAGGGTGGGTGGACCTCAGTCCAGGGAGCCAGAGCAGACTGCTGGGACAGAGGGGCGCTCATACTCTCGACTGTGGCTCCACAGTGACATGCTCCTCAACTGCACACTCCGATGACATGTGATTCACCGTGTATCAGTGACACCTCCCAGAGCAGTGACAATGAACCAGTGCTGTGAGCAGCCTGCCACAGCGCTGCCGTCCCTCCCGCGGTAGGTGGCTGCTCCAGGTCGAGTGTCCCAGGGCGCCCGGCACATCCTTCTCTGGTCCTTGCGGCTGTGGTGCTCACGGGAAGGCCAGTCGTGCTCATACGGAAGTGGAGCTTGGCCCTAGAATTAGACGGCTGCAAAGGGCTTTCCCTGCAGGACCTTCGGACACCGTGCGGGGCATGGACAAGCGTGGTGCCCGAGGCGATCCCGCGAATCCATGACCCACAGATGTCCAGCACTCGGCCTCCCCCGATAAACGCCCCCCTGAGGAACGTTCTCCTCCTCTGTTCACAGAAGCCGCCTCTCCAGCTCTGCTCCCTGCAGGCTTCCCACTGACAATGATGATGACGATGATGTTACTGCACCCCCACCTCTGGGCCACTGTCCCCCAACCTCACGCTGAGCAGAGAAGGGGCCTAACGGATGTTTTGGGGACATGGGGATGGGTCCCTCACAGACAGGTTAGTGCCTTCCTGGTGGGGACAGTTCTGCTTTGTTATTCTTGTGAGCTGGTTCTAGAAGGAGCCTGGCACCTCCCATCTCTCCCGCTCCCTCTCTTGCCCGGGGGTCTCTGCAAACACCTCCTCCACCTTCCACCTCCACTGGAAGCTCCCCGACCCCTCACAAGAAGCAGGTGCTGGCACCATGCTTCTTGCACTGTCTGCAGAACCATGAGCCAGATAAGTCTCTTTTCTTTATAAATTTCCCAGCCTTGGGCATTCCTTTGTAGCAACACAAATAGACCAAGACACCCATGTTGGGAAAATGTCGATGGAGAAAACAATGGGTCATAGGGAAAATGGGTCAATGGGAAAAACGGGTCGATGGGAAAACAACGGATGTCATAGGGAAAATGGGCTTCAAAGATGGGGAAATGGAGAGACAGATAAACCCTGACACAGTCACCCTCCTTAGGCTAAGTGGGACCCTCCTTCTGTCCGGCTAAGGGACAGTCTAGTCCAAGGAATGGGGGCCCCAGCACTGGTGCCCAACACCGAGATTCCACAGAGCCAGAGGGTCTGGTGACCTTGGTGACTGCAGGGTCCTGCCATCCTGCCCAGAGAATCTACCGCCGATTCTTTGGCCCAAGCAAGCATTGACCTTCTCAGCACAAACCCTTGCTAGAGTGTGGCTCTCGGTGAGCAAGCTCAGCCCAGGTCTGGCCCGCTGCTGCAGAAATGCGCGGTGTGGCGCGGAAGGCGCTCGGTCATTAGGCGGCTGTGAGAAGAGACTGTGTCATGCCCACATCCCAAGCTCAGACAGCAGCCTCCTGCCGCCCTGTGGGCTGCTGCCCTGAAACACCTGCTTCCCGCCCATCCGCCCAGCCCATGCATGCCCCGGGAAGGAGGGCAGGGGGAGGAGAGGGAGGGGCAGAGATAAGAAGGGAAGAGGAGGCTGGAGGCAGCCGGCACTGCCACTGGGCTCTGTCAGAGGGAGCCCCAGGAATCTGCAAGGGAGAAGGAGGCATTGTTCCAGAAGGCAAACAGCAACCCTTTTGTCTCCAGAGCTCAGCAATGACAACTAAGCCTGTTTTCTTGCTTTGCTCAATCTCAATTGGGCGGGTGGGAGAGCAAGGGAGGGAGGACTCTGAGAAGCAAATGCAGCTCTCCAAGGGGCCAGGAGCTGGGTGGTGGGGGAGGAAGGGCTGGTGAGGCCTCCCCTGCAGGGCCCTCACCTCCGGCCCCCTCCCCACCCCATGGACTCAGAGACCCCATGCTGGACCAGCCATGCCACTGGGGAGCAGATGGAGAGGACCTTCCTGCCCAGGCAGGGCCTGCCCAGGACCCGCTTTAGTCCTTGGTGCCTTGAGCGTGAGGAGTGGTCAGGGCAGCGGGACAGGAAGGTGACAGGCCACCACTGGGGAGCACCGAGGGAGAACGTCCCATGCCGCACATGGGCAGGTGTAGATGTCTCTGTTTTTCTGACCCGCAGGTGTGAAGTTCCCGGTTACTCATGACTGAGGCATTTAACCCCAGTTCTACTTAGTAGCGAGCATGCCTAAAACTGGCCACTAGCTGGCTTCCCGGGCGGAGCACGGGGGACAGGTGGGCTGTGCGTGGGGAGGGGACAGCACTGAGGATGTGGGTCATGGAGGGAAGGTGCAGGCATTCCTCAGGCATGAAGCCACTGCGTCCCAGGGAAAAGGAGATGGGAACGGGAAGAGGGAGGCTGGGAAACAATAACGATGCGACTTTATCTAGAAAGACAGGCTGCAGGGGTGAACCGCTGTGTGCACCTCCTCCGCCTGCAGCAAACCGACATGTAGCTCTGTGATCAGCCCAGGGACAGAGCGTCCTGCCCTGCCTGAGCTGTCCCTGTGGCACCCAGCCAGCATCCAGTCTGTCTTTCCTTCGATACAAAAAAGGTGCCCAGGCTGTGAAGGCCACTCCGACCTGACTCCACAAGGCCAGAACTATGTCAGCGAGTGCTGTGTGCTCCCCTCTGTCCCAGGGTCCCCTCCCAGCTCTGTGACCCTCCTCCAGCTGGTGCTTCCCCTGCTGTCCTGGGTCGGGCCTTCACAGCCTATGATTCCCTTCCCTCTCCAGGCTGGTTTTGCTCCGCCCCGCTCCCTGTCCCCCAGGGGTCCGCCTCCCAGCTCTGTTGACGCCTCCTTCGCAGACTGGTGCGCCTCCTGTCCTCGGGTCGGCCTTCCATGCAGCTATGCGCCTCTCCCTCCCAGGCTGGGGCTCCCTCTGTCTCGGGGTCCCTTCACAGCTCTGTGATCCTCCTCCAGCTGGGTCCCGCTCCTGTCCCAGGGTCCCCCCAGCTCTGTGACCCTCCTCCTAGCTGGTGTCCCCTCTGTCCTGGGGTCCCTTCACAGCTATGTCCCTCCCTCCAGCTGGTGCTCCCCTCTGTCCCAGGGTCCCCTCCCAGCTCTGTGACCCTCCTCCAGCTGGTGCTCCCCTCTGTCCTGGGGTCCCTTCACAGCTGTGTCCCTCCTCCAGCTGGTGTTCGCCTCTGTCCTGGGGTCCCTTCACAGCTGTGTCCCTCCTCCAGCTGGTGTTCCCCTCTGTCCTGGGGTCCCTTCACAGCTGTGACCCTCCTCCAGCTGGTGCTCCCCTCTGTCTTGGGGTCCCTTCACAGCTGTGACCCTCCTCCAGCTGGTGCTCCCCTCTGTCCTGGGGTCCCTTCACAGCTGTGTCCTCCCTCCAACTGATGCTCTGATTCTACCCTGGGATCTCCAGCAGTCTGGCTGTCATCCTCCAGTATTATTTTGCTTTGTTCCACCTATTCCCTCCCTCAGAGGACTCTCCTTGGCCTTGGGGACCCTTTTCCCAGGTGCAGAGAGCCGGGCAGCTTGGGATGGGTGTGACAGGCGCAGGTGGGTGGACTTGCAGCCGTGGCAGTGAGGCTGGCCCATCGCTGGGAGTGGGGGGTGGGGGGTCGGGCCGTGCTGCGGGGCCCCTGAGCGTCTGCCTGGCCCCCTCTGCAGGGGCAGCCTTGTCTCTCTCCTGGGCCTTCTCAGCCCCTTTCTCCCGCTGCTGTGGGTTTTCCTGACTGTTGCCTGGGAGCATGTTGACTCTGCAGCACCCAGCCCGGGACAATCACTTTTCCTAATTCTCAGCTCTCCTGGTGCCTCCCGACCTTTTCTGACCTGGCTTTGTCACCTCCACCCTGCTGACACCCCCATGCGCCTAGGTAGCTGGCAGGACCTTCACTCTCTGTTCCATCCTGCAGGACCTCACAGCTGACCAGCTTCAATGGCAGGGACAGCAGCTTCCTGGCAGTTTCTCACTCCTGCTTGCTCCCCGTCTACCTTCTGCTCTGCTTTTCTGGGTTCACCCTCCGCAGTGTGTTCCCTGGGCAGCCCCTGGCTGTGCAGAGCAGGTGTGAGGAACCTCTCTGAATCCCAGAAACCTCCGGTGGGATTACATCTGTGGCTGTACCGCACAGAAACATGGGTGTCACGTGAGCAGATGGCCACAAAGGAGTGACGTGGTCTGTTGCTGCTGATCCATCTCCGGTGTTCACTGTGGTCTGCGGAGATTGAGGAGCTGGAATCACACACTCATCAGTTTCTATCTTTCTGTTGGACAACGGCCAGGTCACACAACATTTTAAAAAATAATTATTCAAAAGGTTTTATATAAAAAAGTTCATTGTTTTCATATTTCTGGGATGGATGTAATTACAAGGAGAAAGGCCAACAGCTGGTTGGGTGGGATCACCAAAATGCCAATAGATATTTAACTTTTGAGGCCCCAGGACAGACAGTAACCTGTGGGCTTCCTCTGCTGCCACTTGGCAGGGCAGGTGGCTTTGGCTCCAGGCCGGGGTTTCTGCCTGGGTCCCATGAGCTCTTTTCTTCTTCCCCCAGGGGGTGCTGTGCATACAGTACCCTTCCTCTTTCTCAGTCATTCTTGTCTTCTTGCTTTTCCCTAATTCCTTGAAGAACTCTTGGATTTTGTTCCCCTCTCTGTTCCATTTGTGATCTTCCCAAAATGACCCTATTCTTTATTTAAAATGGGTGGTTTACCCACTTGGATGGTAAGATTAAAAATTCTGACAATGCCAAGTGTTGCCAAGGCTGTGGAGCAGCTGGATGTCTTAAACATTGCTGAGGGCGTGTACAATGATGCTTTCATTTGGAAAGTAGTCCGCGGTCCCTTGGGGTGAAGTATCTACTCTCCACAGGACCCAGCAACTCCGTATTTACCCCAAGTAGAAATGTACGTCCACAAAAACACTCATTCGAGAATGTTCATAGCAGCTTTATTCAAATAATCACAACTGGAAACAACCTATCAATAAGCAAACAGACAAACAAATCATGTTACAGCTACACAGTGGAATTTTACAGCAATAAAAAAGGACAATATTGATAAATCTCACAATATTATGCCAAGTGAAAGAGACATAACACACAAGAGGTCAGACTAGGTCTTCCCCTTTGTGAAGTTCTAGAACAGGCAAAAATAATCCAGAGTAGCAGAAATCAGAGTGTCAGCGAGGGTGAGAGCCAGGTGAACTTCCTGGGATGGCGCAAAGGGATCCTGGGGTCGTGGAGACGGCGAGTGACCTGGTCAGGTACTGGTGACACCTGTGGGTGCATTTCCAAAAACTCACCTCCCCAGACGTTTAAAGTGGCGGGTTCACTTTACTGTACACAAATTACACCTCCAAAGAGTGAGCTCGCGAGGGTGAGCTGTGCCAGAGGTTCTCGGGCAGCCAAGTAACAGAGGGTTTAACAGAACATGAAACGCCGAGTCTTAGGTGCCGCTCATCGCCCCCGCAGGCCTTTCCCGTCCCCTAGTCTTTCCTCTTTACTCCCCCAATTCAGCCTACTGTTTTGGAGCATCAACATTTAACATAAATTTAAAATAAATTCTAGCTTTTCCTATCACTTCTCTCGCTGGTTTCCCTCTGTGTATGGAAACACTGTTTCATGTTTCCTGTCATCTCAGATGCGCGGGATCGATGTATTAGGTTTTATGTGTGCTGGGGCGATGCAGCCTGGGAATCCGCCCGGATGCGAGCTCTGGGACGCAGACGCCGAGAGGCAGGGGCTCAGCGCACCGATGAGGTACCTTGCTTTTAGTGTATTCAGCTTTTCTGTCACACCCATAATCAAACATTTTAATTAACTTTTTTCAATTTTTACCTGATTGTCCTCAAATTTGATTCTGACAGAATGAAAATATTTAACAGACAGACCACTGAGAAGCAATTCTCGAAACCCAGTGCGCCAGCCTGCCTCTTCCAAGGCTGGCCACCTCGGGGGAGGCCCAGCCAAGAGTTAAAGCTGTTGTACAAAGACTGGTACTCAGTCTATTTTTACCACGTTGCTGTTTTAGTCCCCTTTCCTATTTCCTTCCCACGTAAAGCCTGGACAAGACCGCTGAGTGGCGGAAGATGGACAATCCTAACAAAGTGTTCTGAGGGGGGGAAATGGTGCTGTTGCTAAAACTGCCTAAGCATTTCCTCTTCTGAAAACAGACACGGGTATCTTAGCCGATAGAACAGTTAAATAGTATTTATGAGATGCAACATCCTATTGTAATTACATGTGCATTGGGGCTTAAAATAAAAGAGATACATGCAAGTCTTACTCATCACGCTGCAACTAGCAGGGTAACTGTGGATAAAGCATGCAACTTGTTAGGGCTGTGTGCTGGGACCCAGGACTCGGCTGGACACTGACCTCAGTGTCCCACAGACAGTGCCTGCTGTGTGGTGTCTCTGTCCTTCACCCACACAGGGCTGCACACTCACAAGGCCAGTTTCTAACCCCGTGCCATGTCAGCGTAGCCTGAGGACTTGCAACACAGTCCACACGTGTGGAGTAACATACAGCTGGTGCACAGGAAATGAAGAGTAACAGGAGGAATGCCCCTGTGCCTGCCAGCCAGCTCAAAAATAGAAGATTAATATATTACCAATATCCCCATTTGCATCCTTCCTTCCTCCACAGTGGTGATAGAAAATCCTGAATCTTGGGTTTATCGGTATTGCTTAATTCCCCAACCCCCTCCAGACACTTGGGAACGCAGCGGACTCACCCCATAGCCCAGGATGCACGTACCCCAGGTCCTCACCGCAGTCACACCTGCCCTGGCCCTTCTGCCATAGACACCACAGTCTCAGGGCCTCGGGCCGTGCCGGGACATGCTGGGACTCCGTGCCATCGCGCCTGGGATCACATGTCTGTGCCTTTGCTCGCTCTTTTTCCTTTGATCTGTTTTTGCCAGAATTTTTCAAGTATTTAGTCTTTTCAAAATGTATTTTGTGATCTGTCACTCTGGTATTATTATTGTCTTCTATATTATTAATTTCTGGCCTTCTTTTAATTTTCTCTCTTCTATTTACTTTTGGTTGGTTCTGTTATTCAACTTCTAATTTCTTGAGTCACACACCCAATACTTTTTAGCCATGTTTTCCTTCTCATTTTTCAGTTGACAAATAAAAATTATATATATTGATTAAAATCTCTCATTGTATACGCTATTTTTTATCTGTATACATTTTTTATGCATACAAAGTACACAGTATATATACTTTGTGTCTGTGGGGAGAGAGAGAATTGCCAGCTGCTACAGTCTCAGGAAGTCCATGGAAATGGCAACAATGTGACCGGTCTGCAGGTTGAGCGGACAGGACGTGCCCATGGGCTGGACACCCTTTGAAGAGAAATGGAGGAGTCAAAATAAATCCCAAGCATTTTGGCTGAAACAGCTGTAAGGAAAGATGCACCCTCTGCTAGGTGGAGATGACCAGAGGGGGAAGAGCGAGTCACGAGGGGAAATCCAACTTGGCCTGGGCACTGAGGTCGGAGCCGGGCAGCGACACGCTGGAGACAAGGTCTCGGGGGCTGTGGGCATAGATGTGCGGCGCAGGCGAGCTCCCCTGAGAGCAGCGTGTGGGCAGAGAGGGGGTTCGGAGGGTGAGAGAAGGCGGAGGGAGGAGGCCCCAAGCCCTCCCCCACGAGCAAGCGGCTGGAAGGCAGATGCCGCTGCTGGGCAGGTGCGGTGGCTCAGGAAGTGGCGGTGGCACCTGGGGACAGGGCAGGTGTGGTGGGGCAGAGGGCTTGCGGTTGGCAAGGGCCCAAGAGAGACCAGGGAAAGAGGAATCGGGTAGCGTGCAGAAAGCCCTCTCAGATGGGTTTTCTAGAAAGATGAGCAGTGGCAGCTGCTGCAGGGAGTGATCCCAGGACATTTTAACGGCAGAGGCTTCACAGCGCGATAGAGGACTAAGCATGGCAAGGCAGAAAGGGTGGTTGTCAGACGGGGAGGAATGGCCCGGGCTGGACCCGAGGCTTCATAGGGCGGTGTCACCTGTCACAGACGGTGACAGGTGGGGCACAGGAGGGCGGCAGGGCACGGGCCTCCCTGCCATCGCGAGTGCGGGACGTGATGGTGAGAAGTTGTGGACACTCTTTGGATTCCTTTAGTTATTATTATTTTCAAATAAAGATGACATCTTGCTACATTGCTCAGGCTGGTCTCGAACTGCTGGCCTCAAGCAATCCTCCTGTATGGGCCTCCCAAAGTGATGGGATCACAGGTGTGAGCCATCGTGTTTGAACAAGTATTTTTTAAGGAACTAGGAAACGCTGTGTCATCAGCTGCTGGAGGTTCGAAGAGACAGCGGCAGAGTGGCCAGACCTGGGCGGTGGGTGGCTGCACGTTTAGTGTGAGTGCGGGTGTGTGAGTGTGCGAGGCAGTGTGTGGGGACTCGTGAGAAAGAAAAGCCCAGGAGACCTCCCCGCCATCCCCTCCACCCCCCGGGACACCTCTGGCCCGCCCCGTGTCTGCCGAGAGCATCTGTGTGGAGCCCGGGTGCGGGGGAGGACGAGGAGGGTGCGTTTCCACAGCCTCTGGGACCTGCTGTAAGAAGGGAAATTAAGCGGTAGATTTCCCCTCTGGTTAAAGGAGCTTCTGGTCTAATCAGAAAGAAGAACTACATGACAAAGCGGGAGCTGCATCTGCGGAGCCCCCACCGCATCCCCGGCAGGAGCCTCACTCGCACTGGACCTTGTGGGAGGGGCGCCGGGGTCCCCTTCGCAGGACAGAGATGGCCTCAGAGCGGGGAGAGCCTCTGCTACGGCATGAAGGCAAGAAAGGCTTCGGCGCACACAGGTGCAGGAGAGGAGTGGCTACCTGAGAGGAGTGGCTGGCTCTGCGAGTAGCCCAGATGGCGGGAGACCTGGGGAGGTGATCATCACAGCGGGGATAGGCGGGGCAGACGGATGTGTGTGGGAGCCTGAACGAGAACTAGGGGGCCTCTGCCCGACCGGGCAGCTCCACGGGCCAGAACGTCGGGCAAGTCCACATGGCTGAGCAGGGACAGGCTGGGACCGAGTGCGCAGAACACAGGTGTGGGAGGAGGCAGAGGGGCACAGAAGGTGACAGAGACAGTGGCACTAGGGGGCATTCCTCTGCCTCCTTCCCCTCCCCGGCCTGCCCTGTGGACGGCAGCCTGAACCCTCAGAAGAGTTCCTGACGGCGAGCGTGACCACCGTGAGCTGCTGAGGGTCATACAGGTGAAGGGACGCAACTACTGCAGCGGCCAGAGGGTCCCATGGTAGAACTGGGACATCTTGCTCAGCTCTGTGTTTGTTTTGCGTAAAAACAAAGTATCTGAGGTTGACCAAATATGCTTGGGAATTCATCGTAACCAAGAAACTGTGGCTGAAATGTGCCGTGTTCCAACTGGGATTTCGTGTCAGTCTGAAAAACAACACAGTAAATATTGTGAAAGTCACAGGGATCATAAATGTTCTTTATGTAAAGTTTTGGCAGAGACCTTTCAGATTGAAAAACTTGACATTTTAATGACTTTTTGTAATAACTGAGGATTTAACTTTGGGTTAATTTTTTTTTTGCCATCTCTCTCGGGTTCGGGGTTGTGGGTGTAAAACACGGACGTGATGGGAAACGCTAGGCTTCAGAGAGATGGGAGTGCAATGCTGCACCTGTCGGACACGCCAGGTGCCACACGGGGGAGGGGTCTGCTCAGGGAGACGAGAAACGAATTCATGCTGCCCAAGTAGGGAGAAGTGTCCTGTGAAGCCAGGCGCCTGTGCCCTGGGTGTTTCTGGAAGAAAGGGTGTGGCGTCTTGCCCCCCCCCCCCCCCCGGGCTGGCACTCAGGCCAGGCTGGCCCCAGATGCCCCGAGTCAACTCCTGACGGTTGAGTCACCAAAAAAAAGAAAATAGGGATTTCTAAATTTTTCACATCACTGCATTCTGTTACTGAAACAGGAATATACACAGCACACTTTAGTTACCAAAAAAAGGAGAAAATTTATTTTAAAAAATATTGAATGAGCAAGCTCTTGCTGCATTAGAGCCAAATATGAAGAAAGTTAGTGCAGACAGAGGTGACCTGAAAGCACCACTTCACATCCGTGGAAGTCTGGGCTTGGCTTAGTAAAGAGGGGGTGGGACACAGCCCGGCCAACCCCAGGCCAGAAACGTCATCCCCAGGCAGAGAAAACGCACTCAGTCCCACTGCTCCTGGATCACTTGACGGCCTCGGCCCATCTTGTTTTCCAATTTGGGGGAAAAAAAACATGGGAAAGAGAAAGTGCAGTGACAAGTGACCACGACAAGGTCAGGCTGGAGTCTGTGGCCAGGCTGAGGCAGAGTGTTTGCCGCCTGGGACACCTGTTGTCTGTGCAGGTTGAGGCCAGTTTTGCACCCATCCTCCCAGTTTCCGAGAGATTCTAGAATTCCTGACTTTTATGTGGACTCCCCAGTTCAGCCTCTGCTCTCACCCTAATAGACGACGCATGAGTTGTGAAAAGCACGCGCACTAGCTGCACACGCCTTGCGAGCCACCGAGGCCGTGCTGACTGCAGACAGCCCCACGGGGCCGTGGCCGGGTGAGGTGCTGTGCAGTCTGGAAGGGGTTCCGTATCACGTGGCTCAAACAGACTCTACCATCCAAACACCCTCGGCCCCGCGCCCCTTTGAGAAGTCCCGGTCAGCAGGGAGCGCCAACCTGTGTGGCCTCCCGCCTGTGCATCTACACGTGTTCAGACGCAGAAAGTAACACGTGAGCCCAGGAAGGTCAAAGTCCTAGTGATCATCGGATAAAACCAGACGAAACACTACAAACCCCAAACCGAATTTTGAGCAGGTAAAGATCTGTCGGGACACTTTGTGCCTTCAAGACACGACACAGTCACAGAGCTGTGAACGTCAGCACGTCTGAGACAGGAGCCGACACCAGGTGGGTTCTGTGAGTAGCGTCACTTTATTAAAGCCACGCCCAGCAGAGGGACGCCCGGCTGCCGACGTGTGGGGATGGGCTCGGCGCAGAGAGCCGGACGCAGGGCCTGGGTTCCAGTCCTCAGTCTCAGTAAGGAAGTCGTCTGCTGCATACGGCTGAGATTTAGATCATTTCTTAAAATAAGATAAATACCTCCACCTAGGTATCATCAATAAAGTCAAAGCACCGATGATCAAAATACACTATTCTGCGAGTTCCATGATATGTGACGAGCATGTCACACGTGATTTTCATGAGCAACAAATTTGTGCTTTCCACAAACACTCCAATGGTGCTTTTGGTAAAAAATAAGCTTTGACTTTGAATTGCATATTCATGGCAAAAAGAATTGGGTCTGCATGTCAATGAAATTGCTAAATTGGTATCTGAATTCTACCTGGGCACAGAACAGTAAAACAACGCACTCTGGGACCGTCCCCAGGCCGTGGTGGGCAGGGGCTGCCGTGGGACCCTTCCAGGGACCCCAGGCCTGCCACTAAGCGTCCCTGAGGGTCCAGGCCCACCCTACAGCTCGAGGGAAACATCATCACTCCCTCATTTTGAAACCGACAGAGAAACACCGACCAAGAAATTAGGTTCTAGTTTGCGCACTTATGGGCAACTCAGTTAACTAAAAATGGCTCTAAATTCTAGACAATCTGAACACCAAATACCTACCTTATTTTGTCAATTGAGCAATACAATATGAATTTTAAAATTCTCATTTTAAAATAGGTTCAGTGATTTTAAAAACTTGCAAGATTTCACCTGGACCCCCCACACCTTGTCAGGGTAGCAAAACCCCACCTCGCCTCTACTCAACCAGGGGGTCACGACCCCAGGACGGTGCCTGTGCAACTGCTGCCACTAGGTGGCGCTGCCGCAACCTGGTCTTTAAATTTCCTACAATGGGGAATTCTAACAAGGGTGACAAATCATTTTCTCTCTTAGGCCAATTCTCTCCCACTACAATGAACATGGCTCTGAGTAGGACACATACAACGTGAGCAGGGACTGGGAAGTCCACGCCGACCCGGCCCCACCCACCACGTGGCACTTCAATATGAAGCCACTTCAAGTATTCACACAAAGCCAACCCCCGACAGCCTGCAAGGCTTGACGCCGTGGCCTTTCCCTGGTGCCAACCCCTGGTCTGGAAGATGCCAGAACAGTCAAGAAATCATTATGGCAAAACCCCGTGAATCAGGAGAATCAAGGTCTTAAGAACACTTTGTGGCTACTTCAAGACTAATGCTAATGAGAAAGAGAGTTAGTACTTAACTTAGAACTAAGCACACAATGTTCACTACCTCATCTGTCACCAAAGCCATCATTCACGAAACCTGGCTCGGCCTGAGTGTCCCTATCCCCTGGTGCCATCTGGCACCAGTGTGGCTACGACCTCTTCTTCTGCAGCACCTGGCCGTTGGTCCTCTCCGGCCGGCTGCTCTTGGCTTCTGGCAGTGCGAAGTTCCAATCCACGGGATTGAGGAGCTGCTGGGTCTTTTTGTGGGTCCAGTAGGGGTTGAGGACCAGCGTGAGCAGGGCCAGTCCCAGGAGGAAGAGAGCAAAGTGAGGCGGGTACAGGCTGCCGACCAGGCCGTCCCAGTGCCAGAAGCACACCCACCACATGTGGTAGGTCAGCACCATGCGGCAGTGGAACATGTGGATCATCAGCCACTGGTTCAGCTTCCACAGCAGGGAGTCCGCCCAGCCGGCCTGCGGGAGACAGACATGCAGGAATCAACACATAACTGCCCACACCGCCCTCTCCCTGGGAGCAGGCGCTTGCCCTGTCCTTCCCCAGACACAGCGAACCCAGGTCTGGTGCACTGGCATCTGTCTGAGAGGAGAACCTGGCTCGGAGGGTCTGCACCAGCCGGCTCTGGGCCTGGCCTCGCAGCTCCTCTTGCTCTGTTCCTGCTCTCTGAGGCAAAGTCCAGGGCAACCTTTCCTCTATCTCAAATTTGCGCATGTTGAGTAAATAAACAATGCTTACTTGGCTGAACTAGGAGGCATAGGTATGCCGAGGCCCAGTACCTAGACCCTGGGAGAAAACTCTTGGAAGAGTAAGTTTCGGATGAAGGACATTTCCTGGTTTGCTCAGTCCTTGGATTCAGGCCAAAAGGGTCTTCCCTTAAAGTCATGCTGACCTTGCATCAGAACTAGTTCCACAGTAGTAATTAAAACCAAACAGGGGCTGGGCGCGGTGGCTCACGCCTGTAATCCTAGCACTCTGGGAGGCCAAGGCAGGTGGATCGCTAGAGGTCAGGAGTTCAAAACCAGCCTGAACAAGAGTGAGACCCAGTCTCTACTAAAAATAGAAAGAAATTAATTGGCCAACTAAAAATATATACAAAAAATAATTAGCTGGGCATGTTGGTGCATGCCTACAGTCCCAGCCACTCGGGAGGCTGAGGCAGGAGGATTGCTTGAGCCCAGGAGTTTGAGGTTTCAGTGAGTTAGGCTGACACCATGGCACTTTAGCCCGGGCAACAGAGTGAGACTCTGTCTCAAAAAACAAAAAAAAACAAAAAAACAAACAGGGAGCCTGAAGATGAAATGCCCCGGACCAAGGCCATGAAGGTAGGACTAGTGGCCTCAAGAGCACAAGGACAGCCCTGAAGGTCACGGCCCCTCGTGGTGAGCGTCCTACACAGCTGCACCACTTACCTTTTGTACTGCATGCTATGATGGTGGAGATGGGGAAATCTTCAATGCTAATGCCCTACTATACAGGAATCATTCAGTTTACTAAAAGCTTAAAAGAATTTCAATATTTTAGACACAGTGTTTACTTAAAACACTTAGTATTTGAACTAGAAGAAAAAACTGGAACTGTCTGTCTAGAACAATCTGCCAACCCACGTAGGCTACATTAATCCAGGTGCAATTTTCTGCTCGTGGGTCTGCAGCTGTGTGTGGTTAGCATGAGCAGGGTGAGAAGTGAATACCAGGGCGACCCTTTCTCCACCCTAAAAACTTAGAGAAAGTGCAAACCCCAAAATAAAACCTCTCTCAGGTGGTCACACGGCCGTGGTCTGTCTTCTGCCTGAGGCTGTCGGGGACTCCCAGAGTCCAGGCCTCATGCCGCAGGACAGACTCAGCCTGCAGGAGGCGCTGGACCCACCCCAGGCTCTGAGAGGCACAAAGACCACAAAATGCATGCAACAGACCAATGCGACCTCCCGGAGCTGCAGAGATAAGAAAGACCTTAATTCCTTCCTTTCTCGTTTTAAAAGAACTCGCAACAAAAATTAATAAGCATGCAAGCTAACGATCACCCTATTTCTCAAGAGTACGCATGATCTGCAGGGCTGTAGTTCAGGTCACTGCCGACCACACTGTTCAGCACATATACATGACCAAGCTCCTCTGCTTTCCCTTCAACTGGGTGACTTTCTGCCACACTTAGCAGCTCCCTAAGCCCGGCATTTGCAGGTGTGAGGGGTGTGGGGGAGGCAGAGCAGGGGCCTCAGCCTCTCCCCAGAGCACAGGAGCCTCCACTCCACCCCCGCTCCAAGCCAGAGGAAGGGAGGGGAGTCTCAAACCTGCCCTGCATCCCCGAAAAGTCTCCACTGATGCGGAGAGGACCCCCGCAGGGGAAAGCTGAAACCTCGCGCTGTGGGCAGGGTGCTGACGGGGTCCCGGGTCGCAGCAGCTCTCCTAACGTAACCCACTCAGACCATTGCATTCGCTTGCTCGGCCAGGGTGGGGGTGGGATCCCTCAACTGCCTCCTTCAATCAGGTGCGGCTGCAGCCCTCTTCCCTGGCGAGGTCTACCCAGATTATGCCCCCCCAAACAGCCCACACCACCTCCCCAGGCCAGCCTCGCCAGCACCCTATGTCCGTGGCCACCCTACAACACCAAGACGCCCTGTGCATGGATGGCCAGGCCCCGCTCAGCCTCTGAGCTGCCACGGCTCAGAGCAGCCTCGCCCTGCTCCTCCTGCACATTCCTGCCCCTGTGCTCACAACCCCCTGCAGGCACCAGGCAGGGCCAGCCCAGGGGACAGCAGAACAGGGCTCTCTCTGACGTCCCCGGTCCCAGCGCAGTGCACGACACGCAGCCGGCGTTCCATGTTGGTTACGTGCACAGAGGCTGTACCATTTATGTTGTCAACTCACTCTGATGGGCTGACACCATCCATCCAACTAGACCTAAAGATAGGAATGACATTTTATACTTACTTTTCCTCTCAAAACCAACCACAGTGTTCTGTACACAGGAAACACTCAAAAATACAACCCATTTGTGTGACTGGTTAAACATGAGCAGTATTTCAAGTTTTATATAAAATATCCTGTGAACAATGTGATGTGTCGTAAGAGATAGCAAGAATCTATGCTAAAACATGGTCCTAAAAGAGAGATTAACACAAGGAACACTTTGACATCAAAATGGCCAGCAAGGTCACAGATGGAAGACAGACCATGCATTTCAGAAAATACTCCCCAAAACAAGAAGGAACCATGTGTTAAATAGATAACTATGCCAGGTCTCAACACTTCTGATCACCAATAAAAATCTTACTCAAAAATAAAAAGGGAAAAAAAGATATGTGTGTACACACACATACCTTACTTCAACTTTAATTTTAAAGTATTGAAAGAGGGAAAACGTCATGTTTTCTGGGGTTTACAGACACTCCCACTGAGTCATAGATCCACTGAGCTTTCTTTTCTTAAGGAGCAGAAAGCCTAAACGCTTCATAATTAAGGAAATGGCGTCCACCAAGCCCTGTTCATTACTGCGTGCTCAGCACCTCCCCTGCGGAGCCACATGGGAAACGCTCACCTTCAGGAGCATCCAGGACATGCAGGTGAAGGGCGTGCTCATCTCCAGCAGCAGCGTGGCCATGGCCAGGTAGTGGCCAGCCCTGAGGTTGACCAGGCAGCCAAAAAAGCCCAGGAAGGCGAAGAGATGGTGCACGGCCAGGAACACGTCAAACGTCCGGAAGGACAAGTTGGACAGGTGGACCGCAGCGTTCTCGAAGAAGAAGAACCCAGTGGCTGTGGTGACGTGGAACCAGCACCAGTTCTGCTGGCCATGCGCCTTGTCCGCCTGGAGCACGGGGTCCCCCAGCAGGGCCCACAGGCCCGCAGCGGTGCTCTGCACGCCAAAGACCGCGCGTGTGGCCGCCAGGTCCCAGAAGACCTTCTCTCTGGCCGCCAGAGCTCGGTAGGTGGCGTTCAGGGATGACGACAGTTGGTGGCAGACCACAAAGACACCCAGGTAGAAGGCGAAGCCGGCGATGGCCAGCGTCCCGCGGATGCTCCAGGAGGCATAGTCCAGGTCAAAGACGCCCTCCGAGGCGGCCCCGGCACTCGAGGAGGTCATTGTACCGGGTCGTGAGGAGGCCGGGGGCCAATGTGGGGCTTCTGGGCCCCTCCCTGCGTCGCGTCCAAGAAAACGGCGTTGGCGCAGCTGCCGCGAGGATCGTCATGTATCGGCCGGTCTCCAATCTGAAGGGAGAAGACATAATTCACGTCGTGCTGAGCAGAAGATAGGACACGTCACTAACCCAGTGGGGCAAAAGCATCATAGAAAATGCTTCTTTCAGTTCTGTAGCTAATTCTCAATGTAGTTACAGAGACACACAAACATGCACGACAGCCACTGGGGTGCAGGGGAAGGGATGGGGCGGCAGGAGGCGGAAGGCGGCAGCATGGACACGCGACGCCATGCTCTTCCTGCGGGACTTCCACAGCCAGGCTGCGGCTTTCAAGGCAGTCTGAGGTCAGTCACACAGCTCACAGACATCACAGGGTAAAACACACTAAATAATCACACTGGAATGCACCTTGTTAAAGCATTTACTTCCAGAACCTGAGACGAGAACATCGCCTGGGCACTCTGAGTTCTGTGTGGCAAAGCTACTTATGAACAGTACCGAGTTTCAGACACAGCCCGTGGAACACGGCTGGGCAGCGGCCGGCATGCCTAGGTTCACATCCCCACGTGGCCACTTACTGGTCATGTGGCCGCTGGCCTCTGAGGTTGCCTCCTCACAGAGAAACGTCAGGCACAGGCACTCACATGTGTGTTTTAATGCCAGACTATTACCACTCCTTGTTCAGATGTCCTCATACTACGTCCTTATGAACAGCGGGGGGAAAATACACCCCGAGGTCTCGTCTGTCAGCTTGCAATGGTCTGAACTGTCCTCAGCCTCCCATCGGAAAGGAGAGCCCTGGCTGCCGTCTGCAGACACTCCCACGCATGTGTCGTGGGCCCATCTCAGAGAGCAGGACAGACCCCAGAGCAGCTCCGCCTCTGGCTTGTTCTGCCCACTGAGCCCCTCCTGCCCACGCGGCCAGGAGCCCTCACGGTCTTAGAAGCACCTGCCACGGGAAGTCAAGCTGGACCAGAGAACCTGAATGGCCTTCTCTAGCCCTCAAATTCATTCAAGGCAGTTCTCACTCTAACCATGAAAAACATCCCCTAAATTGATAAGTACATAACGGTCACTTAATCTAAGGAGTTTATTAGTACCTTGTTTCAAAAACTCATTTTCTCCTAGGAACAGTGGCTGAGAACATATTGTGAACCACAATGGATTTATTTACCTGTTCAAACACTAAGTTCGATTAGAATAAATCTATAACTTTTCTCTGCGACAATGTGAAAACAGCAGCTCACCCTTTCATTGTACTTTTTATGTTTCTGCCGTGCCCAACCATCCCATTTCCTGTTCTAACTGAGGTCTAACCAAGCCTACACACCACACAAAACAGGCTTCACATTTTACCTCCACCATACCTAGGACCCTTCCTGCTGCACATCAGAAGACGGTCATCTCATTAATTTTGTGCAGGTTAGCGCTCCAAGCACATCCTAAGACCTGTGCTCCTCTTCCTCAGGTTACTACTTGGTTCAGACCCTGGAGGGGCTTCCCGAGGCCTGACCATGACCTACAGGCATCTTCAAAACACGCGCGTCCACCTGCTCGAGTTCAGCTCTCAGGCCCCTGCATCTCACTGCGTGGTAACACCTTCCAGTTCTTTGACCACACCAAGCTCTCCCTCACCTCCGGGCTCTGCACGTGGGCTTCCACCTATAAGAGTCTCCCCCTCCGGCCCCAGTTACTTCGTCTCACCCTGCGGGTCTCTATTAACCACTGTCGGCTCCAGACGCCCTCCCAGCCCTGGGAGACTCACGACCCAGTTAAGCACCTTGGCTGCGAGCTCCTGCTGCACCCTGTGTTCCCAGCACAGCACCTGACAAGCACTCACTTCGTTTCCTGGGTCTCACCTCCCTGGAAAACTTGCTCTCCGAGGACATGGGGCCGCACCTGCCTGCCCATCACCGCACCTGCAGCACTGACACAACACCTGGCTCATGGCAGGCGCTCAAGAAATACTTGTTGAATACACGAACAGATTCTAAATTATGCCCAAGTGGTTCAGTTTACCTGAGTGTGAACTTGCTTTGTCTGTGAAACTGCAAAACCCAGAGTCTCATGTTCTCAAAACTGGAAGGAACCTATGCAGTTCCCTGTTCTGCCCTTTCCTATTACCTGGCAGGAAATCAGTGCACACACTGGGGACTGTGGAGTCGGTTACGCACAAAGCAGCATCAGAGACCAGCCTTCAGATCCCTGGCCAGCACCTCCCGAATCCCCTGGTTTCCAGGGGTCACCCCACACGATACTTGCCGAGGGAGAGGACCCTGGTCATCCACACCCAGGCTCCGCTCTGCCATGGCAGTCTCAGTGTTCTCCTGGCCAAGATAGCCAACTGCTATGGGGCCCTTGCCTTCAAATGGGGGATGTCCCCTGAAGTTCTGCCCAAAGTGATGACTCAAATCCCTGAGTGGAAGTGGTGAGCCAACGTGGACCTTCAGGAAGTCTTTGGTTTGGCCAGGAGGGGCTGCAGGACTTGAGGACCAAAGTTGGTTTACTGGGTTCTGAACTTGATTTTACTACGGGGAAGCTCAGAACACAAATTTCTTTCTAAACCACGCCGGGCCCCAGTGTCTGGCTATGGGAATAAGAAGCGTACACACAGACCGGCAGGACAGGAGGCCCCTGCCACGAGCCAGGCACATTCAACTAGTTTATTTTATCTCTATGAGAGAACGGCTTCCAGGTCTTTGCACCTTCCAGGTACCTTTTTGAAGATATTATCATATCTAAAGAAAGAAAGCAGACGGGTTAAAGTCTGTCTCTGAAACACGAGCAGGTCAGCCAGAGCCGAGATTGGGCAAGTCCTCCTGGCAGTCACAGAGCAGGTACCAATCAGAGATACAGAAGCAACAGATTATAAAAACCAGAATACCTCTTACCCCTCACAATTCTACAACCAATCCCCATTCTGATTCTTTGCTATAAACCACTGATTGTGCGTGTTCTCGCACAGCTGAGCACAGGGAGCTTGCAGGCAAGCCAGTGAGTTCGGTCTAACCTGTCACTTGGGTCTCTGAGCTTGCACAGCGTCAACGATGCACGAATGAGACACATTCCTCAACTGTCTGAGCCACAGGGGCAGAGGGCCAGGCCCTGGGTCACAGGGTGCCTGGATCCAGCCTGGGCAGCCTCCCCTGGGGTCTGCAGAGGCCTGCTGTCCCCTCTGTGGCATCACACTGTCACACTGGGAACAGCTGTAGCTCACCCTGAGTCACCAGACAGGCACTGTGGAAGTGCAGTGAGGCCTCATTCTAGCAGGCAGTGCAGATGAGGTGGGAAGAGCTCCAGTTCTCCTTTTGCTTCTATTTCTGCTCCTTGACCCGACCACATCCCTCTCACCTTAGATGCTGGGGTCAGCCCTGTTCCACTGCTGTGTGCCTGCCTCACCGCAAGGCCCAGACCTAAAGACTCCTCCACGGTGCCTGATGCCTTGCGTCTGATGCACAGCTGGAAGTCACTCTTCCCTCCACGGGTAAAACTGGGGATGTCTTTTCCATCTGGAAGGCTTCAAAGCTCTTCCCCAGTAGCCTGTTAGTCTCAGCAGTTGAGGAACCAGAGCCAGAAAAGAAGTGATTCCCTCAAAGGCCACAATCTCAGCACCAACCTGACTTTGCAAATCTTCACTTTCTTTGGGAAAAATATATCTATAAACCTCATCTTATTCTTTCTAAGATTTTGTGGTTTAAGCTGTCCCATGGCAATGGACCGTGCATTTCAAAGAAATCTGAATGCAAACATATTAAGGAAAGTATTAGCTCCGCGGCTGCAGTGTAGGCAGGAACTAGAGCTCAGTGGCTGCCAGTACTGTCACTCGTGCACAAGTACTTTCTGTTCACTTGCACTAAACTACTACAGATGCCAGTAATTTTGTGTCTGGTTAAAATAATTTATCCAAATCTTTGAAATAAAGTCAAAAGGGAAAAAATGGTTGCTGTTTAAATTTTTTGCTATACTAGATCACTGCTTTACAAGCCCCCTCAGAATCACTTAACTTTTTAGGAGAAATAATTAAACTCACTGTTTACCACTAATTGAGGCCTAGACGGTTCACAATATGCAAAGTTAATCCTCCTTTCCATCTAGAAGAAAAGATAACCTCAAAGGCTGCGGATTCATTGCAAGGTTGGATATTTGCCAATTTTGTACCTAACCTCGCATCTTATCTCAGCATCTTATTCTCTGGCTACAAAACCCTCATTTTGTGCACTTTCTTCTGAACTGGCACTGTCATCCTACTGGATCCTCCATTATCAGTAGAATATCACCTGACACAGGCAGTTTGCATGAGAATCACACTTCTAACATTTTGAGAATTACAGCTTGTAAAATTATAGTTTGTAAAAATATTTTTCCAAAATCAAAAGAAATACATGCTCAAAAAACAAAATTCAGAAAACATACACAGCATAAAAATATAAAAATAAAACCTGGCAATCCTCCCACCCAGCCCTAGCATTATCACTATGTCTTGGTGACTGCTGAGCTAGTTGTTTTTCTAGATATAAACTCCTCGTTTTTTCATGAAAAGGGATAGAAGTATACAAGCTGCACTGTGGCCTGTGTCTTTCCTTTCAGCAACATGTCACTATGTTCGCCTGTTAATCTTCTTCTACAACACGGTTCTACTGGCTGCAGACACACTGTCCTATGGCTGTCCCATCACAAAAAAGTATCTAAAATCCTTTTTTTCCGGTTTCTCACTACCAAATTCTGTCCCGAACATCTCTGAGGCCACCTGGAGAACCTGTTATTTCAGCTCTTTTCAGGGAAACTGGCTGCTCAGGAAGAACTACCACAACAGGACAGCCTAGAAGGCGACAGCCAGTCTACCTGCGTCCCTTCTCCAGGGAAGGCACAGAACCGGCAAGGCTCACTGAGGAGCGAGGCCCTCTCACATTCCCTCGGTCCCTGATATTTCCTTCCTCATTGCCTTTTCCTCTCACAACCTTCATGAAAAGTTCTAAGTGCAAACAAAAACCCTCACAAATATGGGAATAAGATAGTCAGAAAGTACACAGTTACGGATTTCACACAGAAGGTAAATTCAAACAGGAGTTAGAAACAGCCACCGCTCCCCAGTTTTCCAGAGTAGAGTCAGTAAGAGCAGAATCTACAAAGGCTCAGGAGCCCTGGGCTCCTCTCCAGCCATCCACACCGCACCCTGACCGGGAGCAGCTGGTGACAACCCAGGACCCCTCAGCTCACACCCCGTGACCTGACCCAGCGCCCCTCCCCCTCCCCTGAGCCAGGTCCATCCCCGCTGACCCCGTCACTGGCGAGGGCCACATTCAATGTGTCACCTCTTCCTGAGGCCAGGCCGGGCCGTGGCGAGAGCTCGGTGACACCTCTGTGGCCCTGAGGGAGCCCTGTCCGCGCCCCGCGGTGCACAGGTGGGCAGACTGCACCTGCGCGGCAGGTCTGCGCGGCGAGGCGATCTGGTGGCGCCGCCTGGGGCTGTCGCTGCCCCGTCCGCATCTGCAGCGCTCCAGTCAGCGTCCGCGTCAGGAGCGTCCCTCTCTGCTGCGCACCCGGCGACCCGGAGCACAGCGCGCTCGGCGGGACCGGGCTCAGACGCGGCCCCGCCGCGAGGCTGCGCCCAGGACCCCGAAACCCCGAACCCCTGGAGCCCTGAGCCAGCGCCACTCCGCCCCGCCCCCGCCGCGCTCACCTGGGCCGGCCGCGTCAGCCCGGCGTTCTCTGACGGCACTGCCGCGCGCCCACGACGCGCTGCCGCAAAAGCGCCGCGCACGCGCACGCCTCGGGGGCGGGGCCACGAAGCCGCGCCGTGACGTCACCACGGCGGGCGAGGGGCCCGGGCTGTACCACAGCGGTTGTGGGGAGCGCTGCCCGCACTTTCTGCGGCGTGTCCACGCCACACGCCCTCCGTGTCCCTGCGTGTCCCAGGCTGGCCGCAGTTCCCGGGCTGTACCCTGACGAGGATCCGAGTGGACCCGCGCTCGCCGGCCGACGACCCGCAGGCCCGCCCCGCGCCCGCGCTCCCGGCCTCCGCGGAGACCGCATGAAACCTTCCTGGTCCCCGCACGTCCCCACGGACACACCCAGGGCCGCGGGGCGGTTTCCCCGCTTCCGGTGGGCGGTGACGCGGCCTCCAGACCTGGGCCTCAGGTGTGGACCCGCCCGGGGCGCCCGGCCCCTCCCCCACCACGCTTTTGCCGCGCCTCCCGGCCGCGCCTTCCGGCCACGCCTCCGGGACCGCCCAGCTCCTCTCGGGCCACGCCCTCTGAGTCAGCCCTGCGGGGCGCGCGGGGCGGGGCGATGCCACACCTGAGCAGGTGGGCGCAGCGTGGCGGCCTAGAGGACACCCCAAGGCCTTTCCAATTCTGCACTGCACTCACCACCATCGGACGTTGAGGTTTTGTGTGTTCGGATTAGTGTTTGTTTATTTTTAATGAAGTTTACGTGTTTTGGTTACTTTCGCTGTTGGCTATGTCTGTGTTTTTTGACTACAAGGTAAACTGCCTGGTGTTAGGACCTGGTGTGGCTCCCTCTCCGGAAGCAGCAAAGCGCTGTCCGTGATATCTGTTGACAAAACAAACTGGGCGAGATAAGTGCAGAGCACCTGGGCTGAGTGAAGCACCGCCCACCCTGCACTAGGCCCCCTGACATCCTGGGGCCCGGAAGTGACAGGTGAATTAAATAGGAGAGACCTTGTGACTGACACACGCTTGGCTTTTTTTCTTTTCTGGAAAGTAGTGAAGAGACCATGACTACCTTATCTCGCCTTCAGGACTCGTTTAGGGATTAAATAAGACATTTAAATTAGGAATGCCCTTTGGAAAAAAAGTGTCATAAAATTACATATCATCAGCACAATTTGGGAGAAAGCATACATTCACACACAAGGTTACTTGTTTTTCTGATGTCTCAGGCAGGTTTGTTGAAACCCCGAGTGCTTAGGGCTGTGTAGAAAGCATACAAACAGGTAGGTGCAGAAGGCTCACCGCAGGCCAGACACGGCCGGCAGCCTCGGGGCTCCGGGGTGCAGGGTGACATGGTTAGGCCTGTCCCACAAATAAGGAACTGGGGCCTGGAAGGATGTATTAATAGTAACAACTTGCTCAGTCATGGCCGCGGTAAGTTCCTCAGCTTGAATTTAAGTATTCTGGGATTTTTGTCTATTCACTGCCATCTTTAAAGCATAGTGATAAAAAACAGTAGTTTTGTTTTTTTTAAAAAAAAAGCAATTACATGTATAACATGACAAATGTCCACGTGGAATTTGTAAGACTTGGAAAGAAACACAGGCTGATTCCTGTACTCGCTGTCATCACAGCTGAGTCCCGATGTTTACCACCTGCCTTCCCCTTCCACCTGTGCACTCTGATCACAGGTGTGTCACTTACTCCTTCCACAAAGGGACAACAGCAGTAACAAACAGGCGCCTAGCCCTCACGTGAGCCAGGCACCAGGCTAAGTGCCTTCTGTAAGTTGGATCATCCAGACATCGCGGGTGTCTGAGACAGGCACCATCACGCACATTTCTAGACAGCAAACCAGGGCTCAGTGAGGTTAAGGCTAGGTGGGTTGTGCAGCCTCTACAACTGCTAAATGACAAAGCTGAGTTTTCAAATTCTGTGCCACGAGATATCTGGAGAAAACTGGAATGACGGTTTAAGAGAGCTGGCCAGGGTTTGAACATTCTCCCCTTTTCTGATAATATAAGCGATATATATGCTCATCGCAATGTTTGCTTGTTTCCTTAAGAAAAAGACAGATTTTTAAAAAGACATTGGCAGAGGGGTGGTAAGATTTCTTCTCTCCTTCCCATTTCTGTCTCCTGAGCTAAGCAGAATGACCGGGTTCTCGGAGGGATGTGTAACAGAGCGAGAGGGAGAAGAGAATGTCCACAGTCATTCACCAGAGAGCGACAGCAGCTCTGCGGGCAGGAGCCATGCCTCTCTGTGTTTCCAGAGGACGTTTTAAAACACTGAAACCCAAGTTCATGATCTGCTGACAAAGGGTCAGCAACAGGCATGTGATTCCCTGGACTTACACAATTCGGGAGGCGACGGCTCTCCCCGGCCCTCCTCCCCCGCCCTGACCTTAGGCCTGGGCCCCTTTGGTCCAGTTTCAGCAAGAGCCCTGCTGGGTCTGTTTAGCAAGAATCCCCCACCCTCGATATCTGATCAAATTCTTTGTCCCCACCCTCAGCATCTCATCACCCTACCTGCCCACAGCATCCTGTCGAGTTGGTTAGCAAGACTCCCCCACCAGGACGTCTCCGCCTCCCAATTTTCCATCCAGGGACCCTCACCTGCTCCTGGAGTATAAATCCCCACTCACCTGTACTGTGTTTGGAGAGGAGCCCAGTCTTGCTCCCCCAATTCACGCCCATTGCGGGGGTCCCTACATCTATCCAGATAGTCTGCCTTATTGTTCTTTAGCAAGTGTCACTAATAATTTTTTCTTTAACATGTGTGGCAGACTTAAAACTTCTTAGAAAGAAAAGCAATTTGTCCTAGAAAACTGTGTCCTCTTCCAATCACTCCTGCTTGCGCAAGCACTCGCTGTGTCCATCTCTTTTCCTAAAAAGCACATCTTTCTGAAAACCTGAAAAATTTTGAGCCACACAGCATGGTGCTGAAGACACTTAGAATATAGCACTAAGAGGCTCTGAATGGGGGTCCTGACACCCCTTTCCTGCCAGGGCATCATGTCCGCTGGCTGCGTGACCTGGAACGGTTGTTTAGCCTCCCTGAGCCATGTTTGCCAACGGACGAGATCGGTGTTGGTCTCTTCGGCACTAAGCACTGTGGGCAGGGCTCTCCCTGTACAAAATGATGACCTTGAAGCTAATGGCCGTAATTACCTGTTGCACAAAGAATCCTCAAGTCGTGGTTGGCCAGAGGCATTGCCACAGCCAGAGCTTTCAGCTGCCCCAGGAGGTCATGTGGATCCAAGGGCTACAAGTGTTCTTGTGGGGCCATCCCTTCCCTTGGGGACGTTTGGCAACGTCTGGGGGCCTTTTTTGGTTGTCATCACTGGGGCAGGGGAGGCCAGGGGTGCTGCTAAACCTCAGGCAAGGCCAGCCCCCAACGGCCCCCACGTCAGTGGTGCTGAGGCTGAGAAACCCCGTCCAGGAAATGCCTCCCATGAAAAACTAAAACTGCACGGAGAGGAACAGGCACTTTCCACAGCCAGTCACAGCTCTTGGAAGGGTATCCAAGGCACTCACCTGGTATCAATGCCCTAAAGGACTCTGGTGAGACTTCAGGAAAGGCTTAGCTCACACCCACTGAGAGATACCATGGCTAGGGTTAGTTTTTTGCCCCAGGGACTATTTTAGGAACAAATTTACAGACTCTCAAAACTAACCTTCCCTCCCGGCCCCAAATCATAATGTGACATAAATCAAAAATACAGGCATATGAAAGAAATCTGGTGAAACTTAGTGGTTTTAAAATGTCAGGCAGAATGTCACAAAATAGGCAAATCCCAAAGAAACACACTGAATTGGTATGTTTCTCAATCTCCAAACAAGGAAGACTTACCTGAGAGTTTTTGGATTTGTTTTGTTTTGTTTTGTTTTGTTTTGTTTTGTTTTGAGACAGAGTCTCACTCTGTTGCCTGGGCTAGTGCCCTGGCGTCAGCCTACCTCACAGCAACCTCCAACTCCTGGGCTCCAGTCATCCTCCTGCCTCAGCCTCCCGAGTAGCTGGGACTACAGGCATGTGCCACCATGCCCGGCTAATTTTTCCTATATATTTTTAGTTGTCCCGTTAATTTCTTTCTATTTTTAGTAGAGACAGAGTCTCGCTCTTGCTCAGGCTGCTTTCAAACTCCTGACATTGAGTGATCCTCCAGCCTCGGCCTCCCGGAGTGCTAGGATGACTGGCATGAGCCACCGCGCCCGGCCTACCTGAGAGTTTTCTTTCCAAGTCTCCTGCCGGGCAGCTGCGCTGAGCTCGGACTGGAACACAGGGATGTGAAACTTGGGGTCAGCTGAGCAGAAACCACTGACAGCAGCCAGGGAACAAAATCTCAATTCGCATCTTCTTCTCCTTTAAAATGACGATCCACACAGCCGCGGAGGCCTGGACAAGACGCGTCCTGCCTCCCACCACAGTCAGTCAGAGTGTCTCATATCCGCTCCTGGGCGCCCTCGGCGGACAGCTGGGCGGAGCAAGTCTTGTTTGGGGATGACTTGGCAGGCGCAGGGCTCATTGCAGAGGAGTTGGAGTCATCAGCGTGAAAAGAGGGTGTCACAGGACACCACTCCTTAGGAAGCTGGCACCCACGTGACGGGCTGGCCTCATTACACCTTGCGCAAGGCTGGGCCATGGCGCAGAGCGTCCTCGCCAAGCCGGGCCGGCGGTCGTGTTCTTGCGCGAGTGTCTCCAGGTGCCAGACGAGCAGGTGGTGTGCACGCTCCGTGCGTGAGACGCTGGGACATCGTGCATGAGATGCTGGGATGTTGCCCGCTCCACCTGCGCACGCCGTGTCTGTGGGATCCTGGACATGCCACTTAGATTTCTGTGGCTCAGTTTTCCTTTCTTTATAAAGGGGCCGATGGCTGCTCCTGTGGCTGAGTTTGGGGTTCAGGCCACGAGCCCCAGCATGGCTGGGTTGTCTTCCTGAATACCCTTTACCCAAGCTAGTGGGTAAAGAGATGACTTCCCGGATGCCCCTGGGCATCCCGAGGCCCAGCAATCACAGTGGTGCATGAACAGGGTTCCATGCTGCCCTGCTCGCCTCTGACTCTGGGAACTCAGGTCGATGCACTTGAGAGTGAAGAGGCACGAGCCCTGTCTGCCACCTCTAGGTGCCCTGCCGAGCAAGCGTTTGCATTTTTAGTGAGGCCTCTAGGGAGATTGGATGCCAGGTCCTTGTTTCATGTTGAAAGGGCAGATGGAAAGGTTAATGCTGAAGTAATTAAGTTCTTAGCTGAAGTGCATAATTGGAAGGAAGAACAGGAAAGTTCTGCCCAGCTGCCTGTCTTCCTGCTGGTGCCAACGCTGAAGCTCGAGCACAAGCGGCATGCAGGTCGGTCAGGGAGTGAATCCGGGGAGCCGCCAGGGCTGCCCC